TGTTGTTCTTTAACAAATTAATATATAAAGTGGATATAAATTGTGCATATGTTTGAGAACAGTGATGCAACAGTGTATATATTTTCTAGAATTAACTACCTACCATAATATATTGTTGCATTCATAGTTGCATTTAATTATGCCGGTATTTATTAGAAATAATTGAAAGCTATTAATTATGGCCTGTACACAAATTCTGAGAATACCTTCTATTGGACAACCTTCCTGTTTATGTTGTTTCTGGACTTTATTTGATCTATGTCTAATGGAATCACTATTGGAAGTGCAATGCAAAACATACAGATTTGTTGGATGTGTTCGTAAATCTCATATTCAGCAGCCTTTTCTTGTGATGCATCAGTATTTGAATCAATTTAAATGAGATGTAGTCCTGATTGACCATAGGCTGCTGATTTGTTTATGATGGTTTCACTCATTTTCTCCTGCATTTGGCTTTGGGTTTACAGTTGGCTTGGCTGCAGAGCTCTGTCTGGTGGTTGCGTGCACCTCAGAGAGTCACAGCCTTTAGCAGGCTGGTGATAAATCAAGGCTGTCTCATCCCCCCAGGCACCGAGCCAGAACCCAGACCAATATTTAACTTTCTAATTAAAGAAGAACTCTGCAAAAACAGAGGAACTAATTTCTCTCCTTTATTTGAGAAGGCATCATCCTCTATAAGTCTCTCTGGAAATGTTGACAATTCAAATGAAGGTTTAGTCTCTTCTGTTTGACTGGCTTTTCCCAGTGCCAACATTGTACAGCTTTTCATCCAGAAGTAACTGGGGCTTATCCACCTTCATCTCAGGAAAGTCCTGTGTTCATTTGCTGCCTCTGTCCAGAGTCCATTTTAAACAAATGGCTGTGGACTAAAGGCCAATCCGGAGTCTCTTGCGACTCCGTAATGGATTTTATTCCATGTAGAATCACTCCCACATTCTAATATATATGCCTGCAGAAAAATCTAATATTTTTTATCAGGTAATATTAAAAGTAGTAGTATTGATTTTGTCAGACATTTTTAATTTAATATTTTAAATTAGTCTTAGTCCTGTGTCAAATGTACTTTTTAGTTATTATCATATTTAGTCAAAATAGTCAGGTTTTAGTCGACTAGTTTTAGTCAATGAAAACTTAGTCACATTTTCATCATGCTATTTAATAGTTAAACTGATAAAAAAATATGCATATATATATATATATATATATATATATATATTTATTTATTTATTTATTTTTGCTCAAAATTATAATTGCAATGATTGTTGTCATTTGAGAAATTTATTTTTACATTTCAGGTATTGCACTTTCACCAATAAGCACAAACCAACAGAATGGACCTCATACACATGGTTTATTCATCTAGTGTACTGATTTATGATATGCTATTTAATATATAAATTAATATCAGAGACTTAGATATGCACTCTCTTTGTACATTATGAGAACTGGTAAAAACAAACAAAAAAATATTATAAATTCCTAATAGCAATTCCAATAATTCCAAATTGCAATAATGTTTCTCTATTAAAACAACAGTGTTTGAATAAGTGCAACCGCAAACAAAATAGACGAGATCTCATGACAGAACACAAACAGGCTGAATAACACTTTCATTTAAGCCGAACATCTCACACGTAGATCGCTAAACTGCAGCTTACTTGCTTGTCTGTGTTTTCAGATCATTGTCGGGGCTTCCATAATGAATATCGAGTGTGTGCACATGGTTGCCAGATTGCAAAAATTAAGCAAAACACCAAGTAGAAAATGTATCCTTTTAACAGAAGCTCTGATTTGGGGTTTTGAACTCTTGCTATCTGGCAACCGCACACATGAAAGCTCGCATAATATTTTGTCTCCTTTTTTCGACAAGTATAAAAAGAGATTTTTGTATAGTTTTTATTTTTTTAAATACATTTTAGTTTAATCTTTTATCGTCAATGATACTTCATTTTGATATAGTTACAGTTATCATTTATTGATCATAGTCATTGACTTGTTTTAGTAATGGGAAAAAAGCTCGTCAAAGAACATTTTTCGTTCTATTTTCGTTAACAAAATTAACACTAAAAGGTAGTTCTTTTTATATTAATTATATTACAGAATGTTCCAGTTTCTACTGTAGGCAGCCATGGTGAGCATAAGAGACTTTTTTCTAAATAATCGAAAAATGTAAATTATTCCAAAACGTTTGATCAGTATGATTCAAAGGGTTTATATATTTATTTCATAATAATAATAATTACTGTTATAAAATAATATGGCTGTTTTTACTGATCAAATAAATTAAATTTTTTGCATTTTAATATTTCATTAAATACCATTTGAATTTTAAACTGTGTTGCACACCTGTGCCACTTTTTTTTATTTAGCTTTACTTTAAATGACTGTATGTTTCAAGGACACGCAGGGTTACTGTGCCCTGGCCGCAAAGCTGTTGTTGGTATGTCGAGCACAGGCCCATCGTGCCCAGCCCTCGGCAAAGGGGATTTGATTGGAAATGGTGTTTTTTCCAGCAGGGCAATCATTCAGGTAGATGATTCTCTGCTAAACAGACATGGGGCAGAGAAAGGAAGATAGGCTTCTGCGTGCCACTTCAGAATTTGTTCACTCTGACGCATGAAAACAGTTGTGGCCTGTCATCCATGTAAATTACAGATAGGTACAGATAGGCTCGGTTTGCGTGACAGAGGATGGATCATAATGTATTCGTTTTCCAAAGAAACGCCAGACACAAAATCCTCCACAAAATACTCCCATTTATCTCTCAAGCAAACAGAATCAAATGCATCTTAACGGCTTTCACCAGCAGAACCGTATTTTAACCATGTCTGAGATGCAGAGAATGTCTCGATTGACATTTCTTTTTTTTAAAAGCCAGCATTTGTCACTTCCCTTTCGTTGTGCTGAGCAGAGGACGATGTGTCTGCGAGCCCTATATGAGAGTTTAATGCATTCTGATGGCGGCTGTGTTGTCGGCCAAGTCAAGCTGAGCCTGTTTTTGTGATTAAACAAAATGAAATTACTGCCAGCAAATGGAAAGCATGATTGATTTTTTCGGCAGATACGGTGTGCGGCTACGCAAAGGCTTGTTTAACTTTATCACAACAAATCCAATAAGGGCTGACACAATTTCACTCTCTCCGGTCCTCAGAGCGGGTCAGGGGCTCTTCTGGTTTAAATGTGTCTTCCAGTGGAAATGCATACACGGATATTCCTGCATACACTACTAGAGGGCTGTTGACAGTTGAATAATATACATTCAATCCATATGTAACAGTAGGTGTATGTGTGCGCGCACATGTGTAAGCCATAATTTAAACATCCTGTCTTCATTTTGCTTGAATGTAACCATTCTGTCTCGTGCTGCAGCAGAACGGAGATGATTAATTATTCCCCTCTCCTCAGTAATGACTTCCATTACTACCCACTTGTGATTAATTAGTGACAAGATAGAGTGTGTATGCCACCTCCCTGCCTGACTTAAACACACTCCCTCCACCAGTGAGTGGCCAGACTGTCTGGGTTTGGTGGACGTCAGCCACAGTTACAGATCACATTCACGTAGAAATAGAGAGATGTATGCTGTAATATACCTCAATAGTGTAGGCTGATTATTTGTGCAGCAGTGAAGCAGATGATTTCAAGGTAAAGCTTTTTCATTGACATTTCTTTTGTAGACTGTGGTTTTGTCATCTTTGTGTAAAGCTGTCAGGCATCTTCAAGGCAGTACAAAGTGCTCTGAAGGTCATATATTCTCCAGGCTTTTGAGCAATAGGCTTGGACTCCCCTCAGGTATAAAAAATGGAAACTTGCTTTTATACTTGATATGATCCAAAACTGAAGTAAGGATAGGAGAGACAGTTATAGTGACTATGGAAAATTCCTTCTAATTTTTCTATTAAATATAAACTACTTTTCCAATTTTGAGGTCAGTACTATTTTTTTATTTTATTGATTTTTAAAGAAATTGATACTTTTATTCAGCAAGAATGAATTAAATTGATTAAAAAAGTAAAAAACATTTATAAAAATTTCTATTTCAAATAAATGATATGCTTTTGAACTTTATATTCATAATATAAAGTTTATATTATTTAGATTTAATTCTGAAAGTATTCAGAAATTCTGTTTTCAACATTAAATTGAATTGCTTCTTGAAATGTTTTAATATTTTAGAATGTTATTTTATTGCCATCACTGGAATACATTTTATTCTATTAGAATTAATTAAGAATTACAATTACAATATTTCTGTTATTTTTATTATTTCTTTACTGTATTTTCAGTATAACTTTTGAACAGTAGTGTATTGTACCTGTAATACAAATATTTTAAGTTTTTGTCCTGTGTTTTCAATTGTAAAAATGAAAGAAACTTTTTAGTATTTTATTCTCCTCTTAATTTAACTTAGAAGTGATGATGTGTAAGACATGGATGTGGATAAATTAAACCCTAATAAATGTATAAATTGGAAAAATGGACATTTAAAATGGTAATAAAGGTTTTTTTTATAAAATGTCAAATCTATAATAATTTCACAACATAATTCAAAGCATGTCCGTGATGGAGATTCTCTTGAATTTGCCACAGGGAAGCTGCCAAATGTCCTCTCTTTCTGGCTCCTGAATATCAGGAAACTGATTTTCCAGCTATTTCCAAACATGAGATAGGAGGAGTTGTTTCCCCCGCTGCTGAATCATTTGCTCTTTATAGTCTGAGTGAGATGAATGGGGTTTGTGATTGCACAGCTATTGAAACTATGCACAAAAATGCTTAACAAAAGCAGTGGGAAAACATTAAACAGCAGAAAAGATTTCATTTGCAGCAGGGGCAAGAGAAAAGCAATAAAGCCGGAAAATAAGAACGAGGAAGACAAGTTAGAAGGGAGGTCCCTGGGTCCCTGGGTCCCTGGGTCCCTGGTATTGAATTGAGGTGAGACCTGAACATCTGAGATAGAGGATTAGTCTGGGATTGACCTGTTGTATATTATCTGCTCACAGTCTCCACATGGGAAAGAACGACCTGCTGACTTTTTACGATGGAGATGACCTGACTGCAAAGATACTGGGCCAGTACAGCGGTTCCCGTCCTCGCTTCAAACTCTACACCTCCATGGCTGATGTGACCATTCAGTTCCAGTCGGACCCTGCTACCAACATCTACGGCTACAACAATGGTTTTGTGGTGCACTTTTTCGGTAATGTTATTTAACCATTTCTGCTGCACTTTCCATTCAAAAGTTTGGCGACAGGAAGATTTCTTTAAAGAAATGAATACTTTTATTCAGCAAGAATGCATTAAATTAATCAAAAGTGACAGTAAAGACATTTATATTGTTACAAAAGATTTATATTTCAAATAAATGGTGTTCTTTTGAACTTTCTGTTCATCAGAGAATCCTAAAAAAGTATTAGGATTTCCACAAAATAATAATAATAATATTAGGCAGCTCAACTCTTTTCAACATTATTAATAAGGAGAAATGTTTCTTGATCAGCAAATTATCATATTAGAATTATTTCTGAAGGATCATGTGACACTGAAGACTGGAGTAATGACTGCTGAAAATTCAGCTTTGCCTCACAGGAATAAATTGCTTCCTAATATGTAGTCAGAAAGAAAACAGTTGCTTTAAATTGTAGTAATATTCCTGTTTTACTGTATTTTTGATCAAATAAATGCAGGCTTGCTGCACATAAGAGAAAAAAAAATCTTACCAGTCCCAAACATCTAAATGCACTTGGATGAAGCTCATTAATTATCTGCTTATGAGATTTATTTGAGATGCCACAGGGAAACGTAGGAAACGTAAGAGGGAGAGAGGTTATAAGAGTGAGAGCCACAACTGGTTTAGTCCTCACCTTTCCTGAGGATGAAGTGAAGGTCATTCCATCAGCTTCTCTTGGTGGCTGACTATTGCACAAGATCAGATCAAATATAATAAGTTCTATTTGGAGGATGGAGGAATGCAGATGATTCATAGAGCGGACTGAAATGAACTGTTTTTCCATTTCCTTCACACAGCACAGAGGAAAGATTCCTGCGGCAGCTCCTGCAAGTGCAGGGATTTGGCCTTGCAGAGACGCTAACAATTACAGTGCATGTTTGTACTCATTAGCCGCATTTGCCGGGTGCCATGCCCTCCCCAGCTCTGCCACGCTAAGAATGGACATCAGCAAAATACCTGCCAGCTGTCTTGTGCTGCTCTATTCAAATTTTTAATCACAGCTAAGCTGATTCCTAGCATTTGATTTATCAGTCATTAGACACAACACCTGTGGTTTGTTCAGGGACACGGTGAGAAACAAAGAAATAGTTTGCAAGCATTATTGAACATTCTGTCTCTCTTTCCCTCACTTTTGCTCTACTAATCAAACTAATTGAGTCTTACTTTACAGGAACGAAAATAACAAGTGAGAACTCACAGATGTTTCAAGTGTTTCTCCATATAGAAGTAGTGAGATTAAATGGAAAGAAAAGGAGACCTTTGATTAAACAGATAGACCAAAATTCTGTCATTTGCATACTCTCATGTCATTCCAAACCTGAATGACTTTCTTTTTCAGTGGAACTCAAAAGAAGATATTTTGAAGAATGTTTTAACTATTTTTGCCCATATAATGAAAGTCAGTGGGGTCCAAAAACAACATCGAGTTCCAGTGACTTCCATTGTATGGACCAAAAAAAATTAAAACAAAATTAACTCTACAACATTTTTCAAAATAACTTATTTTGTGTTCTAGAGATAAAATTTTGGATTTGGAATTATATGAGGATGAGTAAATGATGAGTATTCATTTTTGATTAAATGACTTGAAAGCTGTCTCACAGATGTCTCATGACTGCTTTCCTCTTAGAAAGCAGTCAGATTAAATGGAGAAAAATTCAGAAATCTGCTTAATTTAATTTGGTTTGGGAGAAATATTTGAGACCACATGATAATCTCTGACTTGATTGCAAACTTTGGCTTGTTAACAAATATACAGGTGCATCTCAATAAATTAGAATGTCGTGGAAAAGTTAATTTACAATGTTAAGAACGCTTCTGAAAATCTTAAAGGGTTAGTTCACTCAAAACTTTAAATTCTGTCAACATTTATTCACCCTCAAGTCATTCCAAACCGGTATGACTTTCTTTCTTCTGCAAAAAAAAATTAAATTAAATAAATATATATATATATATATATATATATATATATACTTTGAAGAATATTGGTAACTATTTTGGTATTTTGGTGACCAGTGATTTTCATTGTATTTATGAAAAAGTCATACAGTTTTGCAACAACACGAGGTGAATAAATGATGTCAGAATGTTCACTTTTGGGTGAACTGTCCCTTTAAGATTTAAAATGAAGAAACTAAAAATAAATTAAGAAACTCAAAACTAAAATAAAACTAAAATGCCAAAGTTTGCTATCAAAAGTGAAGGATTGTCATATGATCTCAAATACTTTTCCCAACCAAACCAAATAATCTGTTATGCAAACATTCATTGTCTCATTTGATTCAATTTCTCCTGAGGTATTTTAGGAGACATATCTGAGGAAAAAGTTGATGCAGCAAGATTAAGTCACGAAGGACCAACCACAGAGTGATAAAATGTTCCTCTTTGCAGAGGTTCCCCGTAACGACACCTGTCCAGAGCTTCCAGAGATTTCCAACGGCTGGAAGACCACATCTCACCCTGACCTGGTGCACGGCACGGTGGTGACCTATCAGTGTTACCCAGGCTTTGAGGTGGTGGGCACCGAAATGCTCATGTGTCAGTGGGACCTGACCTGGAGCGGAGACTTGCCTAGCTGTGAAAGAGGTGAAAACACACACTCACTCACGATGATAACCACTCTCTCTAAAATCCATTTTCACCCCACTTCCAAACCAACACGCACTGCCTATTGATCAAGAGCAATCCTGTGCTCCGAAACTAGATGAGCTTTTGAATTCCATTTGAGGGGGGAATTTCACAAGTGCCTATTCGACTCTGTAACTCGGTCCCGTTCAAGGACAGGCAAAGAGTGAAGGAGGGCTTTGTGGGTAATCACTCACTTTTCTTTCGAGGGCGACTTCACGCAGGAAGTAGGTGTCGTTTCGCTTCACAGTCTCGGTGCATCTTCCTCTCTTTGCTCCCACCTTAAGTGATTTTTGTGATTTTGCAAGAATTTTTATTTCGCTCTCCGCCTCCTTGGTGAGACCACGATGGCGTCCCGCTGATGCACGGAGTGTTTCATCAACAAATTTCAAAACAGGGCAGCTCCACGACTAGCCAAAGTCACTCCAGTGCTTGAAATGAAATCTCGTCGCCTGGTTATTGTGTTGCTCAGACTTGCTCTGTGTGAGTGCGTAATACTGCAGGCTCCCAGGACGTCCGCAGACATTCGTCGTTTCAAGTATCAGCAGACAGGAGACCGAATGACCCCGGGGTCCAGGTTCTGCCGCTGTCCATGACAAAAACAGTAGCAGCAACAGCAGGCCAAAAGCAGTAGGGACCGTTATCCGGTTCAAAGCTTCTCACCCGCCACGCAAACATCATTAACTCACTCGCCTCTCCCGTCCCATTTTCCTGCCCCTCTACTGCTGAGGAGAGAATTGGGTTTGCAGCTGGGCAGGCAGGAGCGAAGTAATCTTTTTATTATACTGCACTGGGTGTCGGTACACTGCCCTGAGATCAAAGTCACATGTTCTTCGTGTCTCATACTTTCTGGATGAGATGAGCGGTGGCTCCTGGCACTCTGATTTTGTGGAACCACAAGTATGATGTGAAATGTGAAGAACAGAGAAACCAGAAAGCATACTGTTAAAATGTATTTTATATTGATATTTAAATGCATAATAGTAATGTAAAAAGCTAATATGTAAAAGATGTAAAAACTGCATGAATTAGAAAGTAAAATGGTTAACAATTCTGATCCAAAAGCATTGTTTGCTCAACAAATATTTGTATGTAAGTCATTGGTGCCACCCTCAGGTGAAAATAAGAACTACAATATAATAGGGATATAGAGTTCTTGAATATTGCAATATATAATGTAATATTTTAATTGCGACTCATAATAGCATGTATATAGTGCCATATTAATGTATTTACATATTTTATTATTATGCTTACATTACAAAACTATTAAAATAATAATTATTGATATACAAAGTCATGTATCATAGATCTATGAAATACAGTACTGAATATACCAAACTCCAAATATTGTTTCGATATAAACAATAAACTATGTGACCTGTTGCTATTTTTTGCCAGTCCTGTCATGCCCAGACCCAGGCACGGTGGAGCACAGTCGCAGGGTGATGTCAGGCCCGCGTCTCATCGTGGGCTCTACTGTCCAGTACATCTGTAACAAAGGCTACTCGCTGTCAGGAAACAGCCTGCTCTCCTGCTACCACCGTGACTCCACCGGCCCCAAATGGAGCGAGAAACTGCCCAAATGCATTCGTGAGAACATGATTTTATTCACAAATAATCCCAAATATACACCTACAGATACACACACATATGGGTGTTAAATGTATAAAATGATTTGTGATTTAAACTTGTAATCAAGTCTTTACAGTATAGTTTACAGTATGCGCATTGAAACATTAAGAAAAACCCACAGAGTACACATTTAATGTTTATTTTATTGTACTTTTTGTCAAAATTTGTTCATTCTATTTACAGACATAAAGTAATAAAACAAAGTTGGTTTTGTTTTCATTTCTTTTGTTTACAAAATCTAATTCTATTTATAGGAAATAGTTTTAAACTAATCAGTATTAGTTGTTTTGTTGTTTGTTTGTTTGTTTTGTTTCGTTTGCAAGGACTCTGTTTAAATGAACGAACTAATGAATGAGGCATAATCCGTGTATCATTCGATCATTCATTTTTTGATTTAATATTTAAAGTAGAAAAATTTGAAAACGGCTCCTTTTTCGTTTTTTTTGTTTTTCTCCAAAAAACGAGAAACGAGAATTCAGCTTAAATTTTAGTTTTTCGTTCATGGGTGGAAAAATTAATAAACAGCTTGAATATTTGATTTCTACATGTGGGCGGGAATTAAATACTCTGTCATTTATAGTCGTATGGTCAAATGTATATTTTTAATTGTGTAACGTTACGTTCAAAATAACTACAAAATGTCATGCCTTTGAAAAAATAAAGAGAACAACAGAATGCGCTGCTTTAGCGCGTCTCGGTCTCCTTGAGCATCTTTCTGGCGCATGCCACAAACATGAACCACAGGGACTACTCGTCTTTTAAAAGGCTTCATTTAGATTATTTTACATTAAATGCATCATATAAGTCACTTTGGAATAAATCACAGTCGGCCTATGTATCATGATAAAAAAAGTCTGGAAATACTTTAGGCTATAGCAAATTATTTCTTGGACCCCCTATCACTTTAAGAACCGCTGGTCTACACAGAAGAAAGACCTGTCTAGACTCTGCCCCAGTACGAGTTGTGTCGAGCTATTCATTAGTCTGTTTGTTTGATGAAAAATTTGAAATTGATAAAATGGGTTATTAATCCGTACAACTGCAGCAGCGGAGGACTATTATTCTGCTGTGTGATACTGCGGAAGAACTGATGATGGCACGGTTTGATCTTCGGCTGACCAATCAGCAGAAAGGGGCGTTTAATTCCTGCCCACGTGTAGAAATCGAATATTCAAGCTGTTTATTCATTTTTCCACCCATGAACGAAAAACTTAAATTTAAGTTGAATTCACGTTTTTAATTTTTTTGAAAAAAAAACGAAAAAGGAGCCGTTTTGTCATTTTTCTATTTTCAATATTAAATCAAAAAACGAATTATCGAATGCATTTATATAGCGCTTTGTTGTGTATTGCTGTACACCCAAAGTGCTTGACAATCATATGGGGGGGGGGGGAATTTAAAGAAAGTAGTAGTTTAAAACTAACTAATCTGTATTTATTTTATTTTCCCTTTGTTTTGTTTTGTTCTGTTATATTCTATTTTCAGAAGTAGTTAGTATAGAATTACCTAATTCATATTTGTGAATTTGTGTAAAAAGTAATAGTTTATAACTAACAAATCCATATTTTCCTTTTATTATATGTTCTTTTTTTGGTTGGTTTTCTTTTCTTTTGTTTACTAAGTCTAATTCTATTTCAGGTAAATAATAAACTAGTTAATCTGTATTAGTTTTTTGTTTGTTTGTTTTTGTTCTTGTTTTATTTTGTTTTGTTTACCAGTCTTCATTCTATTTACAGAAGTAGTAGTGTAGAACTAACAAAATTGTTTTGTTTTATATTTGTTTTTTTTTGCTTCGTTTTGTTTTGTTTTCTTTACAATGTCTCATCCTGCTTAAAGAAAGTAGTAATTTAGAACTAACTCATCTGTATTTGTTTTCATTTTTATTTTCAGAAGTAGTTAGTATACAATTACCTAATCCATATTTATGGATGTGTGTATATCTGTGTTATATAGCTGATTCGTATGAGCCGTGTAGGAACCCCGGCACTCCTCCCTATACCATTCAGAGCTCAGAGAAGCATGTGTATCAGGCTGGAGAAACGGTGCGCTTCTCCTGCATGAGTGGGTATGAGCTCCAGGGTGAGCCTGTTCTCCGCTGTGTCCCAGGGCATCCTTCCAAATGGAGCCATCCACCCCCAATGTGCAAAGGTAGTCTGTGTGTTTTGCATTGTTCATGATGTGTGATCTGCATACTATATCATTCACATAAGGTCTCTTTCCTGTCTGCAGTGGATGCTTATTTATTGATATTTTGTTTCTCTTCAGGGTAGGGAGGGTTTGTTTTGAATAGTTTGGTATGACAAGCAACATTTTCTCATTTGTTAAAAGCTCTCGCTTTTTTCCCAGCGGTAACACTGAAAGGCTATAGAATCTAGCGAATGTGTTATGGCTCGCCCAGCCCGCAGCCTTACAGATATCTGTCAGCGAGGCGCCACGAGCCAGCGCCCAGGAGGATGGAAGAAATGTTTCTTTTGCAGCAAATCTGCATATTAGAATGATTTCTGAAGGATCATGTAAGACTGAAGACTGGAGTAAAGATGCTAAAAATTCAGCTTTGCCATCACAGGAATAAATTACATTTCAAAATATATTCAAATAGAAAAGAGTTATTTTAAATCGTAATAATATTTCACAATATTACAGCTTTTATAGTTAAATGACGTTAGTTGTGAGAAGTCAAATATAATTTGTTTGCAGATTCCATGTGGTTGAAATTTGTATGTTTTAGTTTTGTTCAAATGTCTCTCCTGTGGGTTAGACCATTGCAAGTCAAATGAATTGTTGTCATATGTTTGTTCTCAGAGTGCAAGGCAAGTCTCTGCGTCTCTCCATGTCCACATCACCACAATACGATCACATCAGAGGAGAGTCAGCTTTTGAAAACCCCATCTACGAGACTCCAGTAAGTAAAGCATGTGTTCAGCAACAGGCTACATTCATCCGCAACCACATTTTCACTTGTAATAGAAATCTATTCCCACCCATCGTATCCATTTGGGGTGATATTTCATGGCAGGACTGAGAGGTACTCATGTGTTCAGTCTTACAGGTGCACATCTGCACTTTGAACGCCATCTGCGTTGCCATATTGTGGGTTCCTTTCTGTTATCTAATTAGCTGTAAAGTGCCATTCTGGAGTTGAAATGAAGTGGCACACGGAGCCACGCCCTCATCATTTCATCATTAGCGATCACACAGTTTTATCACTGGGCCAGAACACCAGAGGAAGTGACACATTTAACCTTATTATTGCGTAGTCTATTAGCATATCACCAGCCACCTCTGCTTCACCTGCTCTCATTGTTCAATATATTCACATTCATTGAGCTAAAAAAGGTATTTCACGTTCAGATTAAAATTCTGTCATCATTTACTTACTTTCATGTCGCTTCGAACCCATGTGTGACTTTTTCTTTCTTTTGTGGAGCACAAAAGGGAGACATTTAGCACAATCTCCCAAATGGAAGGGGACCATTGCTGTTGAATTAAAAAAAAATACTGTAAAAGTATCATATCATAAAAGGCATCATAAAGCTAGTCTGTATGACTCTGTAATACAGGTCTTATGACAATATACTGTTCAGTAGTGACAAAAGAGAGAAAAGTGAAAAGTCTCATTTGTTTTCAGCTACAATACCATTCATAATTTTGGGTTCAGTAAGATTTTTTTCAAGAACTTAATACTTTTATTCAGCAAGGATGCATTAAATTGATTAAAAGTGACAGTAAAGACTTTTAAATTGTTGCAAAAGACTTCTGTTTCTCATAATTGATGTTCATTTAAACTTTCTATTCATCAAAGAATCCTGAAAAAAATGTATCACTATTTTTGCAAAAATGTTACTAAAGGGATAGTTCACCCAAAAATTAAAATTCTGTCGCCCTCATGTTGCTCCAAACCCATAGGACCGTTGTTCATCTTCGGAACACAAATTTAGATATTTTTGATGAAATCCGAGAGCTTTCTGAGAGCTTTAGAAAATTAGAATTTTGGAAATTGTGAGAATTAGAAAAGCATACTGAGTAGCAAAGCGGCATTCAAATAGAAAGCAGTTGTTTTAAATTGCAATAATATTTCACAGTGTTAATGTTTTTAATCTATTCTTGATAAATAAATGCAGTCTTTGTGAGCATAAGAGAAAAGCGAAAAAAAAGAAAATAAAAAAATCTTATACCAACCCTAAATTTCTGGCATCTGGGATGGGAAAAAAGAAAGTCATACAGGTTTGGAACGACATGAGTGAGTGAGTAATAATTTTTTTTTTAGGTGAACTATCGCTTTAATTCAGAAAAAAAAATGTATCTGATGATTTGTGACATACATGAACTTGCTCAATCACTTACATTGCACTTTCTTTCCTCTCTCACTATCTGCATCCCTGAAGAACAATGAGGTGAAATTTTGACTGTAAATACTTTTACAATGAAACATGCTCTTTTCCCCCAAGCCTCCTGCGTCTAGCATGCGTTACAGACTGAATGTTATTCGCACCTCTTATGTGCTGTGCTAGTGTCCCTCAAGATCTCTCTCTCTCTCTGTGTGGTGTGTCACACATAACACAGTCCCAGCAGCTCACTCCCTGCATATACTAAACTGCTCGATAACAGTTTCTGGCCCCCAGGGCAAAGTCTGCTGGACAGATGAGTGTCTGTGTGCTGTATGTGTTTGTGCATGTATGTGTGCCGCTTCTTCTTGCACTAATGCCCTGAAGTGGTGTAGTAGCATTATGTGAAGATGATGCAAACACAAGCATCTCTCTCGGGTGTGAAGAAAGACATGATAAATCTGGGTTTACAAAAGACTGCGATTACACAAAGCATAGCTGATCAATATTACATTTTGGACATTTAATTTCAGGATTATAAAGGTTTGTTTTCATATGAGTTATTGATTTAGCATGCTGTTTATTTTTCATAAACATCAGAAGGCTTTTAAATGCTCATTTACAAATCTGCATTGTGTTTATTTGTGAAAACATCACAATATCACTTCATAAATCACACATTGTTTTCCCAGCAACGTAGCCTGATAGTTTTTCCTCAGACTTCCATTATGTTTCCATTGCTGATTATTATTTTTACGTTTTTTCATGCTTAAGTTGCATGGTATTTTTGATTTGCACAGAGACCTATGATTCAAAGCAGCCACCAGAGGTACTCTCTAGGATTCTGTTGTAAAGAAAGAGCCTGTAAGGAGAGTTGATCAATGGAATAGCATCACATGGACAAGGCTGAGAAGGTTTGAATCACTGGTTTAGGGCGTCTCCATCTTTAGCATCTCTCTTTCATATTGTGTTTGCAGCCAACATTGGATTTGCTACCCCTAACAAAATGAAATATTATATATGCATATAAATGTTAAATGTATTATATTTGATGTGTTTTTGTTTGTTTGTTCCGCAGGATACGAGAGAGTACGAAGTCTCCATTTAAGCTTGTTTTAGCATGGAGGACCGCAAGCCTTTCTCTGCCTTGTGGAAGATCTCTCAGTTCCTCTCACATCTTGTGTAGCCAACTCTGCTCTTAATCTTACCTACCTTCTCATCTTTTCCCATCTGCTGTAAAAATCACCTTGCTTCTGAGGACTTCCGCAAGCGAAGAGTGTGGACAACATGATATTATTTTTGTAGAGCTTCAATAGCCATGGCCTAGCAGAATTGCTTGTACAGTTTTTACCCGTAATTGAGCCAAATTAAGGAATTAAAAAAAAAAGACTGATAATAAGGGAGTATGTGTTATTTAGGAGATTGATGTCTCGCTAAACAGATTTTTTTCTTTTATTTGTTTTTAAGTGTCGCACTTTTGCACTCACAACCCCTCCTGCCCCCTCTCCAAAAAAATAACATGTAAAGTTACATTGTAAGATTTAAGTAAATCATAAGCACAGGAAATAGTTGCACTTGTGAAATATAAACAAAAATGATATAAATTCACATATAATGTAATTGAACAAAATACAAATAAAGTTACAATTACCTGTTAATTTTCAGGCAGAAATGGGTTTCCATAGCAATGACATAAACTACCGTTTAAAAGTTTGGAGTCTGTAAGATTTTTTTCATGTTTTTAAAAAGACTTTTAATGCTTACCAAGACTGCATTTATTTTTTTGAAAAATACATTAAAAACAGTAATATTGTAAAGTATTATTGTGTTTTCTATTTGAATAGATTTTAACATTTAATTTATTTCTATGATGGCAAAGCTGAATGTTCAGCATCCATTTATCCAGTCTTCAGTGTCACAATATCCTTCAGAAACTTTCTTTCTTATTATTATCAATGCTAAAAACAGTTGTGCTGCTCATATATTGTGGAAAGCTTGATAATTGTTTTTCAGGATTCTTTGATGAATAGAATGTTCAAAAGAACAGCATTTATTTGCAATAGAATTTTCCCACAATGTAAAAGTATTGTTACTTTTACTTTTGAGCTGTTCAATGCATCCTTTCTGAATAAATATATTAATTTATTTATTTTTTTAAATCTGACTGACTCCAAACAGTTATTGTATCTGGAGTTCTTATCCAAATCTAGTCACAAATATAATCATAACATTTCCTACCTGAACACCTCCATGCAGGGAAAAATAAACGTTCTTTAAAACAATTATGTAAAACCTATGCATGGTTTACAGTTTTTTAAATTATTATTATTTTATTTTTCCACACCATGAAAATTAAATGTGTTACTTTCAAAAGCTGTGATTATAAACCTTCAGATAACAACTACCAGTTTCATGAAGTGTAGTATTTTGCATGAAAACTGGTACATATTGTATCCAGTAATGTGAAGTGGGTCCCTGTTTCATTGGGGTGGACTCAAGCCTTTATGTTAACCTTATTTATGACTTGCCTGTGTGTACAGTCAAACAAAAGACTGCTGGAGAAGTAGTCTCTATCTGTGTTAAATTCAGCTTTGGTTGAGTTGGCCAAAAGTAAAAATCTTTGTACATAAAGTTTTTGTAAATCATCCCTCCTTCACTGATCAATTGGCTCTATTTTTTGGTTTCCGTTTATTTTTGTATGTTTTATACATATTATGGAATAAAATAACAACTGACTGTATTCTTTCAGCAGGCACTCTTAATATATAAATATCTAAGAATGTACATAAAATTTGTATTAGATATGGCTTACATGTATGTATATATGAGGTTTATCTATTATAGAATAGATCTTTGTTCATTTCACACTGTTAATATCAATTAAATGGATCATCTAAAACAGTTATGTACTTGGTCCCCATATGAATGTTGTCTGTATTGATTGAAAAATTGTCATTTCAATGTAACTAGCAAAAGCTGCCAAAAACATCACAATTGGTCACATGACAGACTTGCATCGCGAGTGTATGTTTCAGTTTTTCACTGTCTCCAACTAAACAACAGAGTTTGGGAACCTAAGATTTATTGGTTCCCAATAAATTTATTGGAAGTCAGAGCAGCATCAATAACTGATATAGTTACAAGCGTTACATTCATATTAAATTGGGGGAAAAAACAGTGTAGTTTGAGTTTATTTTATTTTATTTATTATGTATTTATTTTTGAGGGATTCAGTAAAGCGCTCACAGAAGGAATCTTGTCTTAAAAGTTGCAAGGGACTTGGCTGTTTAGGATTATCATGGTCCAAAATGTTATATTTTTACTTCGTTGCACTGTACTGTAATTATTTACCACAACATTGTCATAGCATATCTTTAATTAAAAATGATATTCCATCAGACTGTGCTGTTTTTATTTGTTCTTCATAAACTTTTTCCTTTTTGTAGGCTAATATTTTTTCGCTGTGCTTTAGAGAAAACGGCCTGCAGGCTTGGAGAGTTTGTGTTGTTCTGTCAGACTAACGCTAGAGGGAGCCGTTCCCCTCTGCGTCTCAGTACGCATGCGCAGACTTCATTCCAACCCCGCTAGAGTCGAGTCCGAGGAGGGCAACGCCAGCCAGTTAGCATAGCTATTAGCAATGGCTTTTCATAACAACACCTTTGCTCTTCACTGCTGTCATCTGAGCGCCATCCACGAGTGTTTCTGCACATGAGGACCTAACCGCCGACAATCGATCCAGCAGACTTACTTTGCGACAGCGAGCGCTTTTTAGACAGTATGCGATGGGGACAGACAGCTGTGGATTTCTACAAGCATCTTTGCAGGCGGCTGCTGCTGCTGAAGAAGCAGAGGATGCTGCTAGGCTAGCGAGCTAGGCCTTTGCATCCCACAGGAACCCTTCAATACTGCACCAGACAGCAGCTCGCATTCAAAATAGGCACTTAAACGAGAGTTTGAGCGATTCGTCAGCTCTCGTTTAGCACCAGACATCTGGCGAGCTCTGTGCTTTTGTTTGTTGATAGCTGCTAACTAGCCGAACATCGAGCAGCCAATCCGCTATCTTGTTAGATTATCTACCCGTTTAATATTTCCAGAACGGCTTAAAGACAGCAAGTTAACCCGACTGGGTTTGGAGAACGCGAGAACTGCTGTCGGATTGTGTTCATGCTATATTTTAGCAGTGTGAATGTGGGACAAAATGGAGACCCCGAAGATTCTGTACGATTTGGACACGTCTGGGGGCCTAATGGAGGTAAGCCTGTCTGCCCTTCAGCTGTGCCTCGAATCACTGTCTTGTGTGAGTTAAATATGCCTGTATTAAGGAATAAATGAGTCATAATAATAATAGCAAATTGCAGAATGGAAATCAGTCGTTTGTGGACATTTGCTTTGGTGAGTTTATGCAGAGCTGGCCTGGTGCAGAAATTGCCTGTCTGGAAAGTAGAAACGAAGACAAAACTGTATATATATATTCAGATAGATCTGATTTGACATGGGAAAAAAGTTTAATGACCTTATAGTTGAATGCAGTGGTCCTTAAGGCCCCCTGGACTGCATGATTTGGGGGTCTCTCTAATGTCACCCTTAATTTCAATCCAAAATCTGCATTGTGTGTGTGTCTCTCAGTTTAGTATAATATCCAAAATGTGCAATGGTAGGGCTGAAAACACCAGTTGAATGTGTGAAGCAGCTCTCCATTGACGTCTGTCAGGAGATCTTTTGTGTGACTACATGCATGCTTAAAATATAATTGCCAATCTGTTCCAGCAAATTCAACAGCTGCTCGCACCTCCACGCTCTGAGGATGGAGAGAAGAGACGCAAACCAGAGAGGGAGACCAGAAGAGGAGGCCGAGCCACGAACCATGACACCTGCGATAGCTGCCATGAGGGAGGAGATCTGCTCTGCTGCGATCACTGTCCCGCTGCTTTTCACCTGCAGTGCTGGTATGTTTGCAATGCGTTTCCATGTCTGGGTGTACAAGTCTGCTTATGCTGCTGATTTGTAAAGGTCACAGAGATTGTTATCTTCTTGGCTGATGAGGATTAAGAGTGTGAGGTGGAGGTCTTGGAAGCATTAAGTTAGTTGTTGTGGTTAGTACCATATGCAGTTATTTTATAGCAAATGTATTTATGAACTTACAGTAAATTGCAGCAACTTACAGCAAATTGTAACGAAACATTAAATGACATGCATTATCGTTTTAGGAAAAATGTTTTTGAAATGTTTCTAATGCTCACAAAGACTGCACTTATTTGGTCAGAAATATGATAAAATCAGTCAAATTGTGACATATTATTATAATTTAAAATAACTCATTGTAATATATTTTAAAATGCAATTTATTACTTTGGCAAAGCTGAAATTTCATCAGCAATTACTCCAGTCTTCACTGTCACATGATTCTTCAGAAATCACTCTAATATGCTGATTTGGTGCTCAAGAAGCATTTCTTCTTATTATCAGTGTTTAAAACATTTTTGCTGCTTAATATTACTGTCACAGAAACTACCTCAGTTTGACAGTTGTCCCTTGTAGAAACTTAAAGGGATAGTTCACCCAAAAATTAAATTTCTGTCATAATTTACTCACCCTCAGGTCGTTCCAAACCTGTATGAGTTGCTTTCTTATGTTGAACACAAAAGAAGATATTTTGAAGATTGCAGTTGGTGGTTGCCATGGACTTCCGTAGTATTTTTTTTTCCTGCTATGGAAGTCAAAGGCAACCACCAACTGATTGATTACCAGCAATCTTCAAAATATCTTCTTTTGTGTTCAACATAAGAAAGCAACTCATACAGGTTTGGAACGACATGAGGGTGAGTAAATGATGACAGAAATTTCATTTTTGGGTGAACTATCCCTTTAACGCTGAAAACTCAATCAATGTAGTTTTTATGATTGCTTACGGTGCATATTGTTTTTGTGCACATCACCACTTCCTCATCCAACAACAACCAAAAATGCCTAGAAATGGGCATTTTAAACGTTTTTTGTTCACTATACTGCTTAACACTGACAGCCTGTGCTTGAAGTAAAATATTAATGCCTCTAAGAACAAAAAAAAAACTACAGGTTGTTTTCTGTATAGTTACTAGGACTAGGTATCGAGTTCGATACTTTTTAGGCACCGACCGAATTGCCTCGATACCATCGAGTATCGAAAAACGTCTCGTCGTTCGGTATCACATTTCGATACCTAAGGGGTTAATCTCATCAGCGTCAGTGAGCCAATGAAGGCCCGGCTATACTTCACTTTCCGCATTCCGTTCCGTCTTGCGCTCAGCGGACGAGCTCGACACAGGCACAGTTTGACTTGCGCTCTGTCTCAACTTTCACCTCGCGCATGCGCTGTTGTACGCGGGTCCGCGCGGTCTCAAAAAATTTCCTTGCACGCGCATGGGGTGCGCGGCTGTCCGTGAGCCCTCCTGATGACGAAAATGACGTAATGTGGACGCGGACGGTCTTAAGCCTGCAGCACTAGCCGGTGTGTTTGTATGGGAAGCCAAACAACCCAAATGTGGGACGAAACGGCGCGGTAATGAGTTATTACATTTCTTTTGCTTATTATCTTTCATATTACTACATGTAAACAGTAGTGTTAGCTACTTTGAAGCACGTA